CCCTAAGAGAGACATACATGGATCTAATGTACATGGGGTTAGAAAAAGATAAGATCTCCTGAGTAAATTGGGAGGGAGCATGGGGACCATGGGAGAGGGGAGAAGGGGAGAACACCGGAAAGGAAGGGAGCAGAGAAAAATGTGTAGCTCAGTAAAATCTAAAAAAAAATTAAATAGAAAAAACTAGGTGTTCATAGGTGCATTGATTTATGTATGGGCCTTCCATTCAATTTCAGTGATCAATCTATATGTTTTTGTGCCAATACAGTATACAAAAATGGATTTTTAATAGTGTAACTCTGTAGTAATACTTGAAATTGGTTATAGTGATACCTCAGTTCTTTGATTATTCAATGTTGTTTTAGCTATCCTGAGTTTTTTGTTGCTGTTTTTTCCATGTGAAGCTGAAAATTTTCCTTTTAAGATATGGAAAGAAGTGGGTTGGAATTTGGTGGGGTTTGCATTGAATCATTGGATTGCCTTTGGTAGAATAGATACTTTTAATGTTAATCCTACTGATCCATGATCATGGGAGATCTTTCATCTTCTGATATCTTCTTCAGATTTTTACTTCAAAGACCTGAAGTTTTTCTTGTGCAAGTCTTTCACCTGCTTAAGTAAAGTTACCCCGAGATAATTTTCATTATTTGAAGCCATTGGAAAGGGTGTTGTTTCCTTGACTTCTTTTTCTTTTTGTGCATTAATTTAGTATCCAGCTACTTTATTGAAAGAGTTTATCAAGTTTTTTGGTGAAATTTTTAGGATTACTTATGGATATTATTGTATCATCTGTAAATAAATATATTATGATTTCTTCCATTCCAAATTGTATCTCATCTCCTTGATCTCCTACAGTTGTCTTATTGCTCTAAAAATTCAAGTACTATATTGAATAGGTATAGTGAGTGGACAACTTTGTCTTCTTCGTGATTTTAGTGGAATTGCTTTGAGTTTCTTTCCATGTAAGTTGATGTTGGCTGTGGACTTGTTGTAAACTGCCTTTATTTATAAGGACATATCCCTTATGTCTCTAATCTCTCCAGGACTTTCATAATGAAGGTATGTTGAATTTTGTCAAAAAACATCTTTTGCTTCTACTAAGATCATCATATTGTTTTTGTCTTTCAGTCTATTATATGTAGGATCACATTTATCACTTTTTATGTTGAATCATCCCTGCATCTCTAAGATGAAGCCTATTTGATAATAGTGGGCAATCTTTTAGATATATGCTCTTAGGTTCAATTTAGAGGATTTTATTGACAACTTTGCATCTATGTTTGTAAGGGAAATTGTCTTTCATCATTGACTCTTTATGTGGTTTATATATCAGGGTAGCTGTGGCTTCATAAAACGAACTGGGCAATGATCCTTCTGTTTCTATTTTCTGGAATAATGTACGGAATGTTGGCATAACTCTTTTTGAAAGTCTGGTAGAATTCTGCACTAAGACCATCTGGACATGGACACTTTTAAATGGAAGACTTTTTTTATGTTTCTTATTGAGCTGTACATTTTTCTCCACTCCCCTCCCCTCACTTCCTCTACTTCCCCTGGAAGACTTTTATTAACTGCTTCTATTTCACTAGATGTTATGGATCTGTTTACTCCCCTCTTCATTTCTAATTTAGATTCTCTCTCGCTCTCTCTCTCTCTCTCTCTCTCTCTCTCAGTTGATTTGCACAAGTGTTTGTCAATTTTATTGACTGTATCAAAGAACTAACTCTTTGTTTCATTGATTCTTTATAGTCTTCTTTTTTTCTATTTTATTGATTTCATCAATCAATGTTTTTATTTCTTGCTATCTACTCCTTTTGGGTGTGAGTTTTTCTTTTTGAACTAGAGCTTTCAGGTGTGGTGTGAAGTAACTAGTGTGATATCTCCGAATATTTTATGTTGGTACTTAGTGCTATGAAGTTGCCACCTAGAAACTTCTTCTTGTGTCACATACTTGGAGTATGTTGTACATTAATTTTTGTTCAATTCTAGAAAGTCTTTAATCTCTTTTCTGACTCGTTTTTCACTCAGGAGAGAGTTGTTTAGTTTCTAAGAGTTTGTAAGCTTTTTGTTGCTTCTGTTGTTGTTGATCTTCACCTTAATCCACAGTGGTCAGATAGGATGCAGGATGTTATTCCAATTTTATTGCATCTTTTGAGATTTGCTTTGTGCCTGTGTACCTGTTCAGTTTTGGAGAAAGTTCCATGTGGTGTTGAAGAAAGTATGTTCTTTTGTGTTTGGATGAAATGTCCTGTAGATATCTGTTGCATGAATTTGATTTTTAACATCAGTTAACTCCAGCATTTCTCTGTTTAGTTTTTGCTGGATGACTTGTCGCTGACAAGTGCAGGGTGCTAAAGTATCCCACTAACCGTATGTGAAGGTCAAAACATGACTTAAGCGGTAATAGTGTTTCTTTTACAAACTTAGGTGCATTTGTGTTTGGGGCATAGATGTTAAAATTGAAGTGTCCTCTTGGATTTCTTTCCCTCTGATAAGTATGTAGTATTCTTTTCCATCTCTTTTGATTAGTTTTGGTTTGAAGTCATTTTGTGAGATATTAAAGCAGCTATGTGAGCTTGTTTCTTAGGTCCATTTTCTAAGACTATGTTCTCCATCCTATTATTCTGTGATAGAGGTTCTTAAAGAAGAAATAAATAAAATTTTTAAAGAAAACCCAAGAAATAAATAATCTCAGACCCATAAATCAAAAGGGAAACATACATACAAACATACTCCCCAAAATAATAACAGGAATCAGCAAACAATCCTTATTAATATGACTCAAAAATCAGTGGTCTCAATTTCCCAATAAAAAGGCACAGACTAAGAGAATGAATGCAAAAAAAGGAAAAAAGTATCCATTCTTCTGTTACATAAAAAAATACCTTAACATCAAGACATTTCTCCAGAATAAAATCAATCAAAAGAGACAAAGAAGGTCATTTCATATTAGTCACAGGAGAAAAGCCATCAAGAGGAAATCTCAATACTAAATTCTATGCCCCAAATACAAGGGCACCCTCATATGTAAAAGAAACACTTCTAAAGCTTAAATCATACATTAAACCACACACACTAATAGTGGGAGACTTCAACACTCCCCTCTCACCACTGGACAGGTCATTAAGACATAAAATGAACAGAGATATAAGAGAACTAATAGATGTTATAACTCAAATCGACTTAACAAATATCTATAGAATATTCCATCTAAACCAAAAAGGATATACCTTCTTCTCAGCAACTCATGGAACCTTCCCAAAACTGACCACACACTCGGTAACAAAACAAATCTCAACAAATACAAAAAAAAAATGGTATAACCCAATGTACCTTATCAGATCACCATGGTTTAAAACTACAAGTCAACAGCAATACTAATTCCAGAAAACCCACAAACACATGGAAATTAAATAGTCCTCATCTGAATCATCAATGGGTCAAGGAAGAAATAAAGGGAGAAATTAGACTTCCTAAAATTCAATGAAAATGACCACAGAACATACCCAAATTTATGGGACAAAATGAAAATAGTGTTGAGAGGAAAGTTCATAGCACTAAGTACCTTCACAAAGAAGTAGGAAAAATCCTACACTAGTGAATTAACAGAATATTGGAAAACTTTAGAACAAAAAGAAACAAACTTCTCTAAGAGAACTAGATGGCAGGAAATAATCAACTTGAGATCTGAACAACATAGAAACAAAGAAAACAATACACAGAGAACCAATGAGACAAAGAGTTGGTTCTTCAAGAAAATCAACAAAATAGACAAACCTTTTTCCAAACTAACCAAAAGGCAGAGAGAGAACATCCAAATTAACAATATCAGAAATGAAAAGGGGGACATAACAACAGACACAGAGGGAATCATCAGATCATATTTTGAAAACCTGTACTCCACAAAATTGGAAAACTTAAAGGAAATGGACAACTTTCTGAATAAATATCACTTACCAAAATTAAATCAAGACTAGATACGCAAATCAAACAGACCTATAACTGCTGAAGAAATAGAAACAGTCATCAAAAGTCTCCCAACCAAAAAAAGCCCAGGACCAGATGGTTTAGAAGAACTAATACCAATGCTCCTCAAATCGTTCCACACAACAGAAACAGAAGGAACATTGGCAACTCTTTTTATGAGTCTACAATTACCCTGATACCCAAATCACAGAAAGACATTACTAAGAAAGGTAATTACATACCAATCTCACTCATGAACTTGGATGCAAAAATACTAAATAAAACAGGTTAACAGGTCACTCACTTCTGAGGCCTGAATCAGAACTATCTTTTAAACATGAAAGAACCTTTAAATATAACACTTATCCATAAGTTATAAGATTCTCAAACTAGTCTTCAGGGGCAATTCAGACTTTTGTTGAGATGTGGCTTTATTGTAATAGACAATAAGGTGCCCTTTGTGTCAGTGCCATGGGAGAGATGCTTGCAGAAGGTCATATGGAGTGCTCATGTGGGGCCCAGGTTAGCTTATAAAACTACACATAACAGTAAAGAAACAGAAGTGAAGAAAAATTCTAGGTCAATTTTTGTATTTTAATTTTTTCTTTATATTTGTATGTGTGCCCACCGTGTGTGTGTGTGTGTGTGTGTGTGTGTGTGTGTGTGTTGATGTCTGTGTGTGTTCATCTGCATGTGTCATGGCATAACTGTGGTGATCATAAGACCACTTTTGGGAGTCAGTTCTCTCCTTCCATTATGTGGTTCCTTGGGATCAATCTCAGGCCATCTTGGTGGCAAGGACATTTACCTACTGAGCCATCTTGTTCACCAAAGTTTTTTTTTTGTTTTGAGTAAATATCTTAATAATAATTGATGATAATTTTAATCAGAAAATGGTTTTAGAATGAATAGTAAACTCTTTAGATAACACGTAACTTTAGTCTGTGAGCCAAACAGAGTGATATGGCTGAATTAAATGATGAAGTTCTTAATAACTTATCACCTTTTGTGTAAAATTCTCTTTCCTTCCTCAGAATAAAAGCTTGAAGAACAAATTGTTGTCCGGAAGCAAGCTGTGTGGGATTCATGCAAAAGAGGTGAGTAAATATGACTTTTTCACAAGTGTACCTGGTTAAGATCATTATTGAATTAAATCTTGTGTAATCTAAAGAACTAATGGCTTTTCCCCTAACACAAATGAAATACTGAATGCAAAATGAAATACATTTTAGTTTTTGTATGCATCTAGTTATTCCAACGTTACACAAATGAAAAAATAGAAATGTACCCAATATCATCTTCATAAAAATGAATTTTTAACACCTGTCTCATTGTATGAACCAATTCTCCCCAGCAGGAAATTATAAGATGCCCACTGTATTTTCCTTAAGCTTTGTGACATTTATATGCCACCAGCAAAGTTCGTAGGATTGTATTAGCTTACCAGGTAAACAGACATGCTTGTTCTATTTCCTGTGCAATTAGATTTTCTTATATATAACTCAAGGAAGAACAAACATTTAGTCACAATAGTCAGTTTTATCTAACTCTGACCTGATGGTAAGTTCAAAATAGAAACAAAGAAAACCAGCCCACAAATCACAATCCGAGAGAACCTAGATAACAATGAGGACCCTAAGAGAGTTATACATAGATCTAACATACATGGTTGTGGGGTAAAGGGAACACTCTTGCATTGCTGGTGGGAATGTAAGCTGGTACAGCCACTTTGGATGTCAGTGTGGCAATTTCTCTTAAAATAAGGAAACAACCTTTCTCTAGACCCAGTAATACCACTTTTGGGTAAATATCCAAAGGATGCTCAATCATGCCACAAGGACATGTTCTCAACTATGTTCATAGCAGCATCGTTTGTCATAGCCAGGACCTGGAAACAACCTAAATGCCCCTCAACCAAAGAATGGATAAGTAAAATATGGTACATTTACACAATGGAGTACAACACAGCAGAAAAAATAACAACAGCTTGAATTTTGCAAGAACATGGATGGAGCTAGAAAACATTATTTTGAGTGAGGTAACCCAGACACAGAAAGACAATTGTCACATGTACTCACTCATAGGTGGTTTTTAAACATAAAGCAAAGAAAGCCAGCCTACAAACCACAATCCCAGAGAATTTAGACAACAATGCAGACACTAAGAGAGACTTACATAGATCTAATCTACATGGGAAATAGAAAAAGAAATGATCTCCTAAGTAAAGTGGGAGCATGGGAACCTTGAGTGAGGGTTGAATAGGAGGAGAGAGGCAGAGAGGGGAGCAGAGAAAAATGTAGAGCTCAATAAAAATCAATTAAAAAAATAGAACTGTATCTTGTAGGAACTATTAAAGAGAGTAGTAAAGTAATAGTGAAGTTTACAAGTGAGTGTAGGTTAAAGACAAGAGTGCCGGTGTCTCCGGGGCACTTAGAAAGCATACATGAAGAAAGCTCACCCACTGAAAATCCCATGAGTTATAAGGAACAGGCAAGGAAGCATTAACATTCCAGGAAGACCTGATGTCTATGAAGAAAATGGGAAGGAACGAAGCTTAAGAGAAGAAAGATGACTTTAAAGTTTGAAAGTTGACCCCTCCAAAGATGTCCAGAAGGGAGAATGAGCTGCTTAAACAGGTCCATCATTGTCTAACTATGAAATTATCCTACTTCCCTTAAGTTACAAATACCTTTCCCATCACCTTTCTATAGGTGGAATAGGGAAATTAGGAAAAAAACGTAATCTCCCTTCCTCTCCTGCTTGTAAGAACAAGGTCACATGCTTAGGCAATATGAGGGCTCAAAATATATTCTAAGACAAAGCCATTATCAAGAACACTATACTTCAAGCTTGCATGTAATATGATCATTTGGAGAATAAATTTCATATATATATATACATGTATGTATATATATGAGAATGAATGAAATAAGCTGTAATTTGGCATCCATATATACATATGGATGGGTATATATGGATATGTGTGTATATGTGTATATATCCATCCATGTGTGCATATATATATATATATATGATATAAATACATACATACACAATGGATGGAAAGCTTTAAGACAAAGAAAGTAAGTGGTGTCGAGTCTCTATAAAAAGGAAAATAGAACTGGTTAGTTTGTGGATCTGATGCAAGGAAGGGCTTCATTTCATCGCATTTTGCTCTGTTTGGGTAAAAATCAGCATGACATTGTTCATATAATTGGGGTTGTTGAAACAGGAAAAATGGGCATTGGGAAAGCTTTGAATACTGTGATATAGTAAATAGAGTGGTGTTTTAAATAAGAAGTGTCTAAGCCACGTGTGGTGCAGGTACCTGTGATACCAACACCTGGGCTATAAGACAGGAAAATCAAGAGTTCAAGGTCACTCTAACCCACAACACTGATTCTTGAGGGAGACTTGAGCCATTCAAGACTCTATCTCAAGAAACAACAACAGAAAAGGGAAAATATCTGTATAAAAGTTGCACTGAACATGTAATCAGATCCTCACAAAACTCAAGTACAGGGGAGAAGGGGGCACTAGATGTATCACTGGAGTTTAGAAAATTAAAGAGTTCCTCCATTTATAGTTTATCCTCTTCATTCAAGAATGTTCCTAATTTCCCTCAGTTCAGTGAAAATTAAATCTCATTTGTTCATCATTGTGTTCTTCATGTTATTGCCTTAATGGTTGAAATGCAGTTAGGTTCATATAATTTATTCATTTTGCCATATCTTGTTAAATATTTATAGAATAATATCAGAGCTCAGTATTCTGAGTTAAAAGGGAAATGTTTACACTGTCAAAATAGTATTTTAGAATAATATGTGCAAAATTTTATTATTTGATTCATCATTATTTCTTAAAACAAAGTAACAATCTTTTGTGCTGGAGACTAGCTGAAAGCAGCTCATCATCTCGGCCACGGGCTCTTGGCTCTATACCCGCACAGGAACGAAATACACTGTGATTTGGCATAGAACACCATGTAATGTGGCTTTTCCCCGGGATATATGAACAAATATGTTTTCACTGCACATGGGGAACTAGAAACAGAATGAAGAGAGGCAGCTGCATCTCTGGAATCCTCACCACAGCTTGGGCAACAGCTCATGAAGCTGCATCTCTCTGGCTTTGCTACACAACCAAAGACGACTTAGAGAGTTAGAGATTCCCCTCTACCCCGAAATCACCACTGTTTCTATAACCTTGTTTGACACTGCCAGGAATCTTCTAAGTTCTTGGGCTTCCTGGGCATAGCGAACAACAATTAGCTTCCCGAGTCTTCAGAGCCTGCCTCCTCCCAGAGCTAATGTTTCAATCCAGAGAAAATAGTTATACTACAAACATTAAAAACTGCAAACCCAACACCATCTGCTGTTGCTACCACTATTATTTCATAAAGGGAAAGTTATTTGAACATAAATGTGTAGGAAAGAATTTCCAATTAGACTGTTGTCTCGTAAATAAGACCAAGGAGCTAAAATGTTCTGTCATGGTTGCCTACAGCCTTGTCCTCCTAGCTATCATTGTCATTATCACAGCTTTAATTAGCTCACGCACATGCAGACACTCCATGACCTTCATGATCTTCATGACCTGATATTTGGAATTGCATTTACAATTAGCAATGTATTAAAAATAAAATCACTGAGATTCCAAATTGTGTATAATTTTTAGAGGCTTATCCTTTTGATAGTTTTAACTTATCAAAATATTGCTGACTAGCTAAGACATTTAGCATGTTATATGTTTCAAATTAGCATACATTCCATAATAGATATATTACTTTAGATGTATTGTTTTTGAATACTCTTCATAAAAACCTAAGAAAGGATTTTGCTTAACAGCATACTGATAATTAGTCTGGACTATGAAATACAGATGACATGAGAGTACAAAGAATTCATATCTTCATGATAACACAAGCCAAGAAATCTACTATGATTCTACCATGTTGTAGTCACTAAATATATACACACATACACACCTCACAATAAAAAGTAGAAAATAAAATCTCAATTTAATTCTAATTTTATATACTAAAACCATCACCTAATGTTGCTTTAAATATTTGTTGTTATAATGAAAAGTTTAGAACCTAATGCACACCATCTATGCAAATAGAATATAAGTGGATATCAGAAATAGTGGACATTAGTCCTTCACCTCTTCTGAGAAACTCCAGCACTAATTATCAGGACTGGCAATGGCACTGGACGGGTCACATGAATACTTACTATGAGCAGCAGTGATCTGCCTATTCTCACCCACACTTGTCAACTCTATTGAGAGACTCTTTGGCTTGGGTAAGAGTCCTGAAATTAGGTGGAACAGGATTGTTCTTTAGGAAAGTTAGTGGCCTAAGTGACGATAACCATGTGAATCAGAATCGCCATAGAGATAAACTTAGTGTGAGAGAAGGCTCTGAATCGGTTATCATTATTTCGGACACTTGGGAGACTTTGTAATCAAAATAGTTATAAGAAGCATTAATTTCAACATAAAAGCATAAGTGCCAGAGGTTGAAGGGTCATGTGCAAATATTCTTCATTAATAACCTCTGGCAAACCTATGTTTTTACTAGTAAGTTCAGTCTTCTGATCATGAACATAGGACGTTTATCTGCCCCTATTAGAAAAAGAGAATAACTTTAGGCAGACATGGGATGCTTTGCAAAAGAAAAATGAAATGAGAAATTCAAATATTTGGCTTTGTTACCAAATTCTTTTTTAAGAAATACTTATAATTTAATTAAAATATAAATATATCATTCCCCCTGTCTCTTATTCTTTCCATGCTCCTAATCCCTGCTCCCTCTCAAATTCACAGGCTATGTTTTGATCCTTACTGTTACATATCCATATACAAATATATAAATACATTCTGTTGGGTCTGTTTAGTGTTGCCAGCATATGTATGTTTCTAGGGCTGACCAGTTGGTATCTGGGGAAGACTAATTCTCCTCTCCATCCTGGAATCTGGTCTGGCTTGGTTTTGAAAGGCTTGGTGAATGCTATCACAGTTGCTGTGAGTCCATAAGTAGGGATGTACTAGACTGCTTCACGAATTCTCACATAATTTCAGATCATACAGTGTGCTCTTCTTCACATTATCTGACTTTGTAATATGGGCCAAAGAAGGGAGCACCTACCACTCTTCATTATGTTTTACATATTTGCCCCTTACCATGTGTATATGTGCACATGTGTGTATGTATATGCCCATTTAGATGTTTCTGCCCAGTGAAGTAAGAGGATCTATTATTTCAAGAGTAAGAATGCAGTGAGCTGAAGTACTCTACAGTACTGGTAACTGTGTCTTTTCTAAAAGATTCAGAAGACAGTCTCCTTCTCCAACTTACAGATAAATTATAAGGATGCAGGTAAAGGTGAATGTCACTGGGAACAACTGAGTTTGTTAAATGTTTTTATATTTATAAGGATCTTGGTATAAAACGTGGACTTCTGTAGCGCTGTTCACCCTTGACTAATGGAATTTTCCTGGCATTCTATCTGTTTGTTTGCTAGTGTCTGTTGAAAATACAATGAATTAAATCTTTCCACGCATTTACACCCATGTACCTTAAAAAGCAATTCAGTAAAAACAAAGATAACAGCATCCATACACATGCCTTTGTGTTGTAGGAGGTTGCTTGTTCATTTCCTGGCTGCCCAGACTCCAGAAATAATCACACAGTAACAATATTATTTGCAATACTGTTTGGTCTATAGCTTAAGCATATTTCTGGCTAACCCCTATCTTAAATTAACCCATCTCCACTAATCTGTGTATCTACACGACGCTGTGGCTTAACCGGCAAGGTTTTGTATGTCTGTCTCTAGCTGGGCTACATGACTTCTCTCTAACTCTGTCCTGCTTTCTCCCAGAATTCACTTTAGTTTTTCCCTTCTTAGCCCTACTCTACTCTATCAGGCCAAGCCAGTTTCTTTATTAACCAGTGGTATTCACACCACATCACCTTTGGCTCTCAAAATTAGATTTTTTTATCATGCCTCATTACAGATATTTTCCATGTTTGTGTGTAGAGTAGAAGACAGGAAGTTATTTAAATAACACCTTTGTAAACATATGATTTTTTTTCTTTCTTTTTTTTTATTGAGAAAAGGAGAAAAAAAAAACAAGTTTCCACCTCCTCCCAGCCTCCCATTTCCCTCCCCCTCCTCCCACCCTACGCCCCCTCCTCCCACCCTTCTCCCCCTCCCCCCACTCCTTTCCCCCTCCCTCTCCAGTCCAAAGATCCTACGTAATGTGATGGCTTTGTGGGAGCCTAGCCAGTTTGGATGTTCACCTTCCTAGATATGGACGGAGGGGGGAGGTCCTAGGTCTTACCATAGAAAACCCAAACATATGATTTTTTTTTCTTTTTTTATTGAGAAAAGGAGAAAAAAAAAACAAGTTTCCACCTCCTCCCAGCCTCCCATTTCCCTCCCCCTCCTCCCACCCTTTTCCCCCTCCCCCACTCCTTTCCCCCTCCCTCTCCAGTCCAAAGAGCAGTCAGGGTTTTCTGCCCTGTGGTAAGTCCTAGGTCCTCCCACCTCCGTCCATATCTAGGAAGGTGAACATCCAAACTGGCTGGGCTCCCACAAAGCCATCACATTACATAGGATCAAACCCCCGTGCCATTGTCCTTTGCGTCTCATCAGCCCTCATTGTTCGCCATGTTCAGAGAGTCCAGTTTTATCCCATGCTTTTTCAGTCACAGTCCAGCTGGTCTTGGTGAGCTCTCAATAGATCAGCTCCACTGTCTCAGTGGGTGGGTGCATCTCTCGTGGTCCCGACTTCTTTGCTCATGTTCTCCCTCCTTCTGCTCCTCATTGGGACTTTGGGAGCTCAGTCCAGTGCTCCAGTGTGGGTCTCTGTCTCTATCTCCATCCATCACCAGATGAAGGTTCTATGATGATATGCAAGATATTCGTCAGTATTGCTCAAGGATAGGGTCATTTCAGGTTCCCTATTCTCAGATGCCCAAGGAACTAACTGGGGACCTCAGCTTGGGCACCTGGGAGCCCCTCTAGGGTCAGGTCTCTTGCCAACCCTAAAGTGGTTCCCTTAACTAAGAATTGTGGTTCCGTGCTCCCCTGTCCAACCTTCCTTTATCCCAATCCTCCTGCTTTCCCAAGGCCCGACCTCCTTCCCTTCTAACTTTTCTCTCCCCATCTCCCCTTACCCCCAACCCACCCCACCCCAAGATCCCAATTTTCTCCCCGGCAATTTTGTCTACTTCCCTTAGCCAAGAGGATAACTATATGTTTTTCCTTGGGTTCCCCTTCTTACTTAGCTTCTTTAGATTCACCTATTGTAGACTCCGTGACCCTTATTTATGGCTAGAAACCAATTATGAGTGAGTACATCCCATGTTCATCTTTTTGGGTCTGGGATACCTCACTCAGGATAGTGTTTTCTATTTCCATCCATTTGCATGCAAAATTCGAGAAGTCATTGTTTTTACCGCAGCGTAGTACTCTAGTGTGTATATATTCCATACTTTCTTCTTTTTAAACAGAATGAAATCTTGCTTCCTGGCCCAGATGTCTACGTGTCTGATGTCAAAGCTAAATTTAGTCTTCTCTGTTGATTGTCCAAATTATAGGCTTCTGCTTGACTAGGCTAAAAGGTTTACTCCTGTGCAGTGTGGAAAATTTAAATCTTCAAGATCGAAAATAAAAGTTAGCATAGGCACTAATGCATATCTCTGCTTTTACAGTCGGAAAAAATCCAAGCCCAACTGAAGGAGCTCCATTATGGGAAGAAAGATTTGTTATTTAAGGTAAGCATCTTGGCCGCTTTTCCTCCTAAACGTCTGTCCAACATCTAACATTCTCAAAATAGGACTTTGGCTAATTGAAATTTCCTGGACATTCTAATGAAGAATTGCTCTTGGCTGAGTTGGGGTTCCCTCTGTTTTCCTACCTCTTAATGAAAGCATATAAGTAAATCACTAGGCCCTTTTGTTGTCCAAGGTAGATTTGGTTCTAATGTATTTAAAGCTCCTCTTCCTACATTTTAGCAGGTTTGCTTTGATATATGTTCAGAGACTAGAGGGATAGATTGAGGAAGTTTTTGCACATTCAGTTGACCTTGCAATCTTTACAGAAGTTTACTGACATTCAGTCATGGGTCTGTCTGATCAAAACCTGAATTTCAGAAATCTGTACCCACTGAGAAAATGTGAAGAGAGGAATCCTTAGGGATTCATGGTTCTGAATTCCCGGACTTTAGGAGCATTTTCTTCTGTCACAGGAGGTTTTGCAGAAATGATAAAATTAAAGACCTTTAAAGGGAAAGATTAGCAATGATTTAAATATTTGGATCTTTTTACCAATGAAGCGAGAATGTCAAAATGTCAAGAACGGAGTGTATGTGGTCATAGAAAATGCAGAATAAAGGATAAGGGGCGTATCCCCCAGCTTCCTTGATTTAACCCTGTAGGCAAACCATCAGCCCATTCCCAAATAACCACATGGAGATTTCTCAGCAATTATAAAAGCTCAGCCAATAAATTAGAATTGCTCCTAAGAAGCTCTTACAACTTATATTAACCCATTTTTATCAATCTATGTGCTGCCCCTGACTCCTGTCATTTACCTGTCCTCTTGAGTGCCTTGTTCCCTCTCCATCTGGCTAATGACTGCCCTTCTTAGTCCCAAAGAGCTCTCTCCCTGTCCAAAAGTGTCATCTAACTTCTTCCTGCCTAGCTATTGGCCATCTAGTTCTTTATTAAACCAATGTAAGCAACACATCTTCACAGTGTGCAGAAAGATTGTTCCACAGCATATACCCAATGCATTAATTTCAGATTTGTCATCTTGAATACTATAGAACACTCTGTGTTGTGTAACTAAGTTCATGACAATTCCTTACAGCCCAGGAACATTCTCACCCAGGAACAGAAAGTAAAGGTCCTTGACTTGTATTCTTTTTCAATCTACTTTTTCTTCTGGAGTACTGAGATAATTGTTTAGGCTTTTATAAGTAGGTGTAATAATATTCAGTAAAATAAGATTAAATTATATATAATATTTACTTTTCAACACATTTCCACTGTAATGATCACCAAAAGTGAAAAAAATGGTTTACTAAATTTTAAGGTATAACTATTTTAATAAATGTGGGAGTGAAGTGATTTTTACTGGAAACAATGAGAGATGACAGAGTGGTGTGCCGTATTTGCTCTTGGCTTTAGAATCAGAGGGAATGTCCTGATTTTGCCAACAGGTATTTGCACATAACATATGATTCTGTCAAGTCTTGACAAATGCTCTTCCTGCCTTTGCTTTGGTGACCTTTAATCCACAGTCTCCAAAGCCCTAAGAAAACACCTGGAACTGTCAGACATGAAAGCCCAAATACCTGGGGAAAATTGTCATTGTTTAGGAGTAATTTCAGTAGAGAATGAACAACGATGTGTTAATTGGATTGAATAAAGAACAAGATAGCATAACTGCGTAAAGAGAGACTCAGAAGGACTTGTCTGTGCCATCACCTCTGAGCATTTCTGGCATTCCTCCTTGCTGAGGGAGACTTGGCCTGTCACTTCTGGAATGTTGTATCTATGGCCTGCAGTTAGCCATTGGAGATCCGAGTATGCCCTTACAGGCTAGCCTTTCAGAAGAACCACAGAAGAAGGCATGGTTTTCCTGGTCAGTGTCATGGCTGCATTTAGGAAGAACTAGTTTCTGTGACTCACTGTGGGGAAGAGAAGACTGGAGAAGTTCACATAGCTAATATCTGAGACTCATCCAGCACTGTGCAGTTGAAAGCAGTCAACACTCTAAGGTGACCAGTTTATTATTAAGTATTTTGAAAGATAAGATATTTTTGTGTGTAGAAGCTTGTCTTCTTCCATTCTGAGTACCCTTGCTTGACCAGAGGGCCTTTTAATGGGGGCAAATGTGTCAAGTCATAGTGGTACTATGAGGACATATCACAATGCTGGACCTATAAGTATGCTATAAATTTCATTATGTTTGTGTTTCCCCTGTTCCAGACTGTGTCCATTGTGGACATTAATGATAACTCTATTACCCTTTCACACTGGCTTCCCACCCACCTAGATTCAAATTTTCATTCCAAAATTTGATACAGTTTTCAAAATTCACTCCTAGATGGTATTCAAATGTCAGGCTTTATGCCATGGTGTTTCTGCAGAGCCGCCCTGTTCAGATAAGATTGGATCACTTCTGCCTCATCATTCCAGTGGTAATTGAAGGCCATTGTAATGCATTATAAAAATTAGACCTGTGAAACCAATAATATATCTGAGTGTTAGAGAAGCCAGTCAAAATAAAGACAGTGATGCTGATAGCACCCTGCCCTTTGAATCTGGGAGGTGAATTGAGCTTGGGATTGCTCTTGTCCATTCCATCATGCTATGTTTATGACTTGGCCTCCCAAGCAGCCTTCTCTCTGGAAATGGCCTTTAATTTACACTACAAGAAGGTGATTCCGTATTTCTACTGGTACAAATAGAGCAGTCAGTTATCATGAACCTCTTGGAGGGAAATCACTTGCATTCAGGAACTGTCTGAAGGTACTCTAGAAGCACAAATGAGATGCTATGGTGGGGGAGGATGTTCACTAAGGTTTTCTCATCCTATTTTTCTTAGGTCACAGATGATTAAACCCATATTCCTAGTCAGACTTGTTCAGTTTAGTTTCTGAAATTGTAAACTATAACAGCACGTTTTAGGTACATAGTTCAGCACTTTGAAATTACTCTCCAGGAAGAGTTCATTCTTCTCAATTCTTATAGTTAACCACTCTCAAATAGCTGTCATTTCCAATTAAATAAGGAAAAATACAGTAATATCTCTATTCCAAACTTATAACTTATTACCATAAAGTGAAAGAAAGAGTAATAAACATCCAAGGATTTGGCCCTCTATATAATTTTTAAGGTACCTTGTTTACCTATCGTTCATCCTAATGGCGATGAAAGCAGATTCAAATGACAGAAGCAAACTGCTGTCCTTTGAAGACCCTTTGGCAGCAGCATTGGATGTTTGTCATGAACTGGGTGTGGTGTGTCCCTTTAAACTTAGAACTCTGGATGAGAGGCAGGCAGATCACTATCCATGACTTCCAAGACAGCCCAGGGCTGTGTATTGGGTCCTTGTCTCTGAAAACAAAGAAACAAAGCTGGATCTCCTCTGTGAACACTTTAGATTTAGCTCTTATATCGTTTGTGCTCTTTGTTCACTTACAAGGGTGTTCCTTAACCTTTGCATAATGAAAGAGAAGATAGTTGCTCTGTAAGGTAAATGCATAAAGCATTGAGCGACAGACACTATTTTAGCACTTTACAAAAAGGAGAAACAGACCACTATAAATTTCTTCCCTCATAGGAATGGCCAGAGAAGAATCCTTAGGAAGTTCATATTGGGCATCTTTTTACCAGTGATAACACGAGCAATAAAATCACTAGACCTGAATTTATCCTATTGAAGAAGTATTTGGTAATTTGGTCCCTCATGCTCACGTGAAAAACAAGTCACATCTATTTATCTTAAGATGAATGCATAAGAGAGTACAAGGGAGTAGACTCCATAACAGAAGGCTCCTGTCAACATTACCTAGTCCAGGTTCCACAAAATTCACTCAAATTCCCCTGAGAGCACCACCTCTGTAAATATTTGACAATTAAGATCAATAACATTCCAAAGCAACGTTCTTCTTTCTTCCTGAAAAATCATTGGAAAAGTCTCTTCTATTTCTGTTATACCTCCTGTCCCCAGATACCAGGGTTCTCAATGACCATTTCCCCCAGGACCTCTATCCCTGTGTCCATAGTTTTTGTTTTAGATACTTGTTGCTCTGAGTTTCCTTTAGGATGAACAAAAAGAACAGTTTTAACACTTTGGTTAAAACTAGTTTTAACCAAGAGTAGAGCAAATTCCCTAGTAAAACAATCTGAAGGTACAGTACTCTGCAGAATGGTAGCGGACGACAGAGATAACTTCAGTGTCTGAACTATGACACTCAGTTGGAAGATAGAAATTGCAGCCACCAATACATATTTCTAAACTTTAATCCAATCTGTATGGTTTTAAAATTCACAAGTGGCATATCTTTCTACACTGCCCCAGGTATTACTACTTAACCTCCAGAGTATGGAGTACAAGTCTTCCTCTGAATCAAAAGTTTCCACATTGTATGCATGATGTGATACACAGTAGCAGTAACTTTCTATATTCTGGGTAGGAGTTGGTGTTCAATCCCTGTTTCATTCAACATGAGAAGAGAACACAATACAAAAATTAATCTATGATAGAGTCTAGGATGGTAGAGCATGAGCCAACTGACAGAAGAGACATACAAGTCAGACTATGATCACCAAGAGCTATAGGAATGTTACTCTATCAAGCCGCACCATCATCTAACAGATGCACACAGATGTCTGCTTGTTCTGTACATTAGTTTGATGTAGCTAAAAGCATATATAACTGAAAGAAGGGAGTCCTTCCCTTTTAACTAGATTATATACCTAGAAAGAGAGATTATGGGAAGCTGATTGTTGAATATCTATTTCTATAACAGGACCAAGTAGGTAACATCCAAACATACATACTTCAGTTATTTATGAAACTGAAATGACATTCAAAATTAAAATGCAGATTACAAGGCACTTAATAATCTCTTCAAGTATCCATGAGCTGTCTTCCTGAAGAATATTTATTTACCAAAAAATTATCACCTCACTTGACTTTATTCATTTAATTTAAGAAATACATTCTATCCAGTGTCTGGGGAATATAAAATTATATTCCA